GCAAAAACCCACATCCACAAAATACAAGTTTTCCAATCAAAAGTTTTGAGAACCATTTCTAATGCTCCATGGTTTGTACGAAATGATGCACTTCACAAAGATTTTCAGCTACCCACAATAACAGAGTACATAAAAAAATTAACTATCAACTTCTTCGATCACATCAATTATGCTCATAGTGCGAAATTTTATAAGCTAAGTGACCCACCTTCTGTACGCCGACTCAAGCGTGGACGCCCACACGACCTATTGTTATAACTATTATTTATTAATATATTATTATTTTTGTTTTTATTTTTTTTTTCTTCCGTTTTGTAAATATTTAATACGTAGTCGATAGTTTCTATTTTTATTAATAATTTTTCTAATTATAACTTATTGTTATATTTTTTCCAAATGTTAAAAAAAAAATGTATCTAATCAACACTAAGTTAAGAAGACATATGTCAGTAAAACTTTATTTAATAAAAAAGTAAAAAAAAAAAAAAAGCTCAAAAATAGTCAAAATATTTTCAAAAAAATATGGTGTAAAGAAAATGCTAATTTAAAAATTCAGTGAAATTTTCATGTATCTACAGTTATTCGTTTTTGAATTACAACAAAATAAGGAAATCGCTACATGAGAAATCGAGTGAATATCCAATGTAGTAAAAATTTTAATTTCAAACGCTCATAAAAATTTAATTTGACTTTCTTATAGAAATTTTTTTTTTGATAAAGGTAGATAATCTTATAAGGAATCTTGTATTACATTTCCAAATCTTAGATTTAAAAAGAAAAATTTTACGAATTCTTAACACAAAATAATTTGCTAATTTTCGTGATTTTTCCATATTTTGTCAATTTTTGAACTTTAAATGTTTATAAAAAAAAATTGTGACAAAGGATTTTTAATATTTTTCATCTGCCTTTGAAACAATATACTAGGAGCCTTTTATTACATTTTCAAGCTTTTTCAACCAACAAACAAAATTTTATTGATATTTTTAGAAAAAAACTAAAGAAGATGGAAAATGAAAATGTCCCTAAACATTTCAAAATATTTTGAAAATGTTATCGTGTATATAAAATGCAAATATAAACAACCAGTGAAAATATCATGTATATACGTTCATTTATTTTAGAGTTACTGCACCAAAAACCAAAATCGATTTTTTGGAAAACCGATTTTGCGTAAAAATTCCCGTTTTTCCTTAATTTTTATGTTGTTTTTCCCGGCGCTTGTGAAAACTACCCCAAAGTACCAACTAGATTCACTTTCCTATCAGAAAAGCTACTGTTGAAGAAAATCCAAGTACTTTTAATGTCCTAAAACGTGATGACAGACACAAAAAAAAAATTAAAAAATTAAAAAAAAACACACATCATTGTAAAAACAATACATTCATCGTTTCACTCAGAATCTAAAATAATTAATACAAATTATGTGTTACTAATTATTAATAGAACAAATAAACAACTAAACATTGTTACATTTTTTAGTCATTTTTGTTAATTTTATTTAGATATGAATTTTAGATTCTGAGTTTAACAATGAATGTTGATTTTACAATGATGTGTGTTTTTTTTATTTTTCTTTTTGTGTCTGTGAACACGATAAGTAGTCGAAATAATGTTTCGATTTTCTACTTCAGTATTTTGTTAGATTTGAAAGTGAATATTGTTGGTGCATTAGGGATGTCAACATTTAAAATTCCCAGTAATTTTCAAAAACGCCAAGAAAAACAAAAGAAAAATTAAGGAAAAACGGGAATTTTGAGCAGAGCACCTTTTTTTTATCTTTATAATCCTTATATATCAAAATAAGTGTACATTTTGAATACATTTTATAACTCATGATCCGCCAAACCGATTTCGATAAAAATTTAAGGGCATATTAGTATTGATGTGTAGATAGTTTCTGTGAAGTTTGTACACTGTGCAATAAGTTGTTTCGGAGTTATGGCCTCTTAAATGCACACCTGGCGAGTGGTTGGTGTTCCAGTCGCAAAATTACTATGACAATGAAATTTAAAATAAAAAACGAGAATTTTTAAATGATTGCGTTTCCATTTCCCAAATAATAATAATAATAATAAACAGCTGCACATACATATTACAACAACAATTCTATTTCCCAGATAAATATTAATTGGTTTGAGATTAAATGAGATTGATTTTTATTAAATTACAATTGTAAAAAATGCCACGACCAAGACGACAGAGTATAGGCTGACAATCACGTAATTATGTCGCCTTACAGTATCATATAGGTTGCAACGAAATGTTGTTCAACAAGTACGAAACGATCAATATATATATACGATATTACACCTGCAGGTCCGTCAACAAATCCAGAATAAATATATAAATGTGAAATGAAAATCTTTGTACAGGGTAAACTCTGGAACTACTTATCAGATCTTCTCGGTTTTTTGTAAACGAAAGAGTATATCGCGACGAGCGTCTCGAGAGCAAAATTGCGCCACCAATCAGAATCGTTCATATTTGTTATCACTATTTGTGAAAATCACGTTTCTTATCATCCTTTATAAAAATTATAATTGTGATAATATAATAATCATCAATCATACAGGTTTATGATGGGTATTGGGTACTTTCAATTCTATTAGTGAACTAATTCATGTGATTCAGCTCATTAAAATGTCATTGAATCACTGAATCAATTCATTATATTTACATTTTATAATTGTGACTAATATTTTAAACCTAAGGGCTAATAATTATTTATATATAATTTATATCTTTATATATATAATTCTACTGTACGAGTGTTTGTAAGTTGAGTGGGCCTTTGAATGGTTTAGATTCACAATCGGACCCGGTAGGCCCATTCCGGGGAGGTGCTCAAACAGGAATGTTGAGATTTACGGTGGATATTTTTGTTTATAAATGGTTGCCTTGGGTTTTAAAGCTATTATAAAAATAAATATTGGTTGAAATCAGAAATAATTTATAAACAACGTTAATATAATTAAATCCAAAGAAAATTTTAAAGTTTAAGTCATAGATTTGGTACATTTAACGGGTAACAAAGTACACGGGATCAGCTAGTTTACATATAAAATCAAATTGACAAACTTAAAGTATAATATTAAATGAAAAATCAATCACTGTCACTGTATTATTTATATGTTAATATGTTATATTTATTTACTTTGAAAATACAAAACATAAAATGTTTAATATGTTGTGGTTTTTTCCCTTTAATTATATTTAATAGTTATTATACCAATAATGATTATTTATTTATTTTTTATTATTTATATTATAAAATCATAAAACCAAATAACCAAATATATTTTTTTATATATATTATTATTTATTATCTATGATAAGAAACGTGATTTTTCACAAATAGTGATAACAAATGTGAACGATTCTGATTGGTGGCGCAATTTTGCTCTCGAGACGCTCGTATATCGCGGAGGAGGTTTTTATGAATGAACATTTTAGGAAAATCCACCGGAAAAGTAGGAAATATGGATGTCAAAAATACAACAGTGACGCAACAGGTTAGGTTAGGATTTTGTAATAATTGATTAATTAATTGATGGAAAAGTTAAGATTAATTTCAAACCCCATGCACCGAATATTGAATAATGAATTGAACAAAGTTTGAGTCATATAGAGTTGGTACATTTAACGGGCAACGAAGTGCACGGGTTCAGCTAGTTGAGTATACATTTTTTTTACCGCTACACCGAAACTAAAATGATCTTAAATCAAAAAGCTTAGAAAATTAATACAAAGTTCCATATTATATACTTTTGTTTTGATGGTTATTGTGTGTAGTGAGCCATTATCCATGGATTTAAATTTTATATATTTATTTTTTCCTAAAATTTAGAAGTTAAAATTTGACAAAAATTCCCAATAATGTACAAACTATTTTATTGTTAAATATTCTAAAATATCTGAATAAGGTTTTGAACATTAAATACAAGTTTCCATATAAGTTTTTCTTATTATAGTTATAAAAATAATGAATGTAAGCTACAAATATTTTTTATAACCTATAGGCGTCTAAAGTTAAATTTTTAAATATCATCAATTTAATTATTATTAATTGCTTAAATTTTAAATTTTAGGTATAGTTGTTGCAACTAATCCTGTGTGGTACGAGATTAGCTGCTACTTAAATGGGCGTATGAATGGTGCGGCATTGCATACATTTGTGTATCGTAATGCTCATGGTATAAAAGACAGTTTAGGTTTTATTTCTGGTCAGAACAAAAAGAACAGCTTAATGACAGAAGAAAATAGTTCGCACAATGATGGTAAATAATATAGATATTATGTCAAGTTGGGTGATTTTTAGTGGCTAATGCACGAAAAGATGCAACTCAAAGCATCACAGTAAATTCTTAAAGTTTTTTAATCTGATATATTTCTAATAGAATAAAATATATAATTAAAAAAGTATGAAAAAAATAGTTAAATTATATCAAATTGTCCTTTCTAAATAAATTATCAAAATTAACCTGATGTTAAGTTTTAATAATTGTATTAAATACATTCATAGATGATTCTAGTGAGGGTAATAGTGATACATCAATAACACTACCATCAAAAAAAATTGTTTTCACGTTCTCACCTGAAGAATGGAAAAGTGTAGAGCCGGAAGAAGTCCGTTACAAAAATAATGATAAACGCTCTACACAAAGTTCCAGAGTATACCATGTATTGCCAAAAAAATACATGGACCCCATTATTGGCTGAGCATTTTTGGGAGCACACTCAGTTACCTTGTTGTCTATCTTTTCGTAGAGCAAGAGTACATCCATATGGTAATTTTTACATAAAAATTGTCGGAAAATGTACTGTATGTGACTCCTATTTCGAAGGAATTGTGCACGAAAGACCTCCAACAACTGCAAGGTATTTTTAAACATTCAATTGATTTTACTATACTTTATTCCATAATTTATTAATTTGAAATTGAAACTTGAAAGTAACTTAATTTGTATTGTTATTATACTTTTTTTTTCAGAGTTCTTATGGAATGTTCTTACACAGGTAATTTTGACGAAGTGCATAAGGCAAAGAAACGTCGCATGATTGGACCTGCACAATCAAAAGCTATTACAGCTATGATTAATGACGGTCGTTCAAGCGAGTCATTTCGAGAGACAGAAGCAGCACGGTTAATGAAAATAGGTAGGTATTTAGTATTAATATTATAAATATAACTGTACTATTTATCATAATTAAAATACTAAAAATGTTCCCAATGTCAAAAAACTTGAAAATTCAATGTTCCAAATCAAGTACAAAGTCACAAATTAATAATTAGATTTGTGGTGGGACTAACTTCGTGAAGCACCACTCCCCATCGCTTAGGCACATCTGTTCATAAATCAACGTCGACATTTAGCAAATCGATTGATCAAAAAATATTTCAGTATCTAAATTTTCTAGATTAAAAATAATTTATTTAAACGAATATCAAAAAATGTTTAAAATAATTAATTAAACTTCCTCAAAAAAATAATTAAAAATAAATATATATTTATAACTAAAACAAATATAATGCTTAAAATTAATTAATACAATTGTGCATATTAATCTATACATATAAAATACAAAAAACGTTCTGACTAATGACTATCTACCGATGTCCTTTATGCATTCCTAATCCGTTCATTCAATTGCGATGAAAATTGATACAGAGATAGATTAGACTTCAGGAAAGGAGATAGGCTACTTTTTATCTCAAAAGAGGTGAATAAGTGGTCCTAACCCAGGTATGTTCTCAAACAGGGATTTTTCGTTTGTTTGTTTTTATTATTTTGTTTGTTTTAAAATCGTGCATATTGGTTTTAATAATAATTTGTATCATTATTAATGCGATAAATCTGTGTATTAATGTATAGTACAGAATATATCGAAATCGTACCACGGTCAACTGTTTTTTTGATAATTTAGAGTTAAACACGAGGTCCCGTGATCCACTACAGGTTAATTTCCTAACTGTTGATATACTGCTCGCATACTCACAAAAACCTAGCAATAGCAACGCATTTCTATGTCCATCTAGTAATTATTAATTACTTAGTAGTTGATGTGGAAATGCCTTTTCTTATGTATAAAAGTATATAAGCCCCCAGTAAGATGAGTTTTAAGGAAAGGAACTTGTTCAAATATATGGTCGTAAATTAATTTTTTAATATTTAATTTGATGTGTAATTTAAATTTATTTATTTTTTTAATTAAATTTAGTAAATGGTTTTTTAAGGATTGATTTTGCTACAAAACCCTAGCAATATAGTAAAAAAAATAACCGACTAAACATTATTACATTTTTTAGTCACTTTTATTTTTATTTTTATTAATTTATTTTCAAATATGAATTTTTTTAATTGTATTAATTAATCATTTTTATTTGGATTTGTTTTATTCAATTAAGATTGTTTTTATTGAGTATAGATTTTTTATATAGATTTTTTATTTCGGGGTTTTTTATTTACATATAAATTGTATTATTTTACCAAGATGTTTTATTCAATCAAATTATTTTTCAATATTGAATATAGATTTATTTTATATAAAATAGGCTTTATTTCAAATATAGACTTCTAATTTAAATTAGATTTATAAAAACATCTATATTTAATTAAAAATATACATATAAAACAAAAACTCTAAATCGAATCAAAAAAAATGTTATTTCATCATGTCTGAAGACTGAAATACTATAGATTTATTATACATAATTATATAATATATCTCTAACACTTAACCAGGTAATAAGGCTTACAGAATTGTTGTTTTATTTTATTATTTGCGAGTTTGTGGTGCACTTTTGTACATTTTTTAGGCAACTGTGATGTTTTGATTTTTAAATATTTATAGCTAACAATAATCGAAATCATTAGTCATAGGTACTTGTGAAGTAATGAATATAAGAATATAGCTTAAGTACACAATAAACTCGCTAAATTTGAACCTTCCACTAAAATAAATAATTTCTGCTATTTTATACTCTTCAGTTATATATTTTTTTTTGGTTATTTTATGTTTGGAATTGCACTTAAAATATTTCACATTTACTTTTTAGGAGGGAACAATCCATCAATTATTCCTACGGGAAATGCTTTACGTTTACTCAAATCCCGTAAAATTGCTTCTGAAAAAAGAAATAAAGATGCTCTTACTGCTATTGCTCTTATGAAAAAAGAAAACGAATATAAAGATATTATCCGAAATGTGGGATGTGACCCATTTTTTATTTATTATTACAATAAAGAGCAAATCCATATGTATCGAGAATATTCTAAATCTGTTACACATCCACAGATAATAATAGATGCAACTGGATCAGTTGTTAAGAATTTCATGAAATTTGGACTTGAAAAAACAAAGACCCTATTCTTATACGAAGCGGTAGTGTATGACAAAGCAAAGAATCATAGTTTCACAGTCACTAATATGGTAAGTGAGAGTCACAACACTATTTCAATATCAAATTGGTTGGCCAACTGGATGGCTAGTAATGTTCCCCAGCCTATGCAGACTGTTTGCGATCAGTCTTTGGCTTTACTTTCTGCAATTGTGAAAACGTTTACTCAGTATTCTTCTTTAAAAATCTATATCGAAGTTTGTGCCGATATCATCACTAATAGATTACCTAGAGATTCTCGCTGGCTACCTTAATGCTATGTTAGATTAGATATAGCTCATTTTATGAAACTCGCATGTCAATGGCCCTCACTTAAATCTTTGAACAGGAAAGTACGAGAAATAATTCTCAGAACAATTGGTCGTTTAGTGAAATGTCAGGATCTCCAAGAAGTTTATACATTATTGTCATCAGTTTTTATATCAATAACTAATGAATCAAATGGCTTAGTAAAAAATACTGCAGTTGAAACTTCTTGTGAAAGGCATAACAGAAGACCAATGGAAATTGTCTCTACCGGAATTATCGAATTAGATGAACAACTTGATGAACTAATAGATTATTCTGGAACTGGATCCGATACCCATGATATGTTAGAAGAACAATTTTGTCATTTTGAAGGTCTTGAAGAACATAATCCTTTTCAAAAATGGGCGGAAAAAGTGTTTATTGAAAGTGAGCAACACAAACAAGAAGGAACAGGTATAAATCCTCTATATGCTCCCGAAATTGTTCCAAATTTAATTAAAATGATGAAATTACTACCACTGTGGTCAGGAATAATGATACCCATTTTTGGTTTTGGAGATGTTATTTGTAGTTCTGCAGCAGTTGAGTCCAGTTTCAACAAATTAAAAAATATAACATTTAAGCATATATCACTACCAACGGATATAGAATCCTTTCTGGAAATCCATTTGCTTTCACTGCGTGGATCATCACTATTAAAATCTGCAGAAGTATTTGCAACTGATATTAGAAATGATGCTGAAACAGAAAATCCCGTTATTCAAAATAAAAATTATAATTTAAACATGTCAAACTGTCCTTTATGTAAATCCGGATCCTTTCCTTCTAAGAATGGAGCACATAAATGTTCAGTATGCAAAATACCGGTCCATGCACTATCAGAGTGTTTAGCACATCTTCCAAATGAAGATGATATTCGTTTATGCTATAGCTGTTTGGAAATAAACGAAAAGTCCAAAGAAAACAATGCAACAGATAACTGGTGTCGACGATCTAAAAAACAACTGAAGAGTGCATCTTATATCATTCCTAATCCTCACTTACGCCATGTTAACATTGGTAACTCTCGAAACTTACGTAATTTACCTTTGCTCAAAAATGGATCACGTGCTGTTGAACTTAAGGCATGTGTACTTAAAAGTCAAAATACAAACGTAATTTTGAGTAACACGTGTGCCTTTGACTCAATTGCATCAATGATTATGGTTTCATTCTGTGACAGTCAAAATTATTCAAGTGGTCTTTTGAAAAATAAAACGAAATTTGTTGAGTTCATTTCTGAATTGGTGAAAAATGGCATAACTTCACATACATATTCCGAACGAGCAGAATTAATAATCACATCGCTTAATCCGAACAGAGAAACAATGGAATATAATACGACATTAGTAATCTGTGATACTACACCAAAATCCGTATTTAAATATATGTTAAGTGAATTCCCTTCCTTGAAAGAAACAAGCAAATTCTCAAATGAAAAATGTGAGAAATATCAAGAGAAGTGTCAAGATCGTTGTTTTGTTACATTTACTACTACGAGTGGACAAGTTGATGATCTTCAAGAACTTGTAAGTAATGGAATGAAGACTGAAGAGTTTATATGTAACCACCAAATTAATGAGCCGGAAAATATACCATGCGCTTTCTTGCGAAAAACCAGTTGTGAAGTATCACCACTTCATGTGTTAATTGAAATTTTATATTGGAAAGGTAAACTAAAATCATCAATAAAATAATTAAATAAATATTTATAATTTTGAGTCTATTACAGGTGAAAATATGCAGCAAAGTAGTGAGGCAGCACCTCACATAAAAGTAAAACTATGTGATATCCCTGAAGTCATAATTCTTAACGGTACATCTTATGACCTAAGGGGAGTACTAAATTACAGACCAGGAAAAAGTTTCCTTAGAAGCTCTATTGGACATTATACAACATATGCCAGAAGAAGTGGAGGTAATTGGGAACTTTACGACGATTTAAAGAAAAAACCTATGCCAATATCCCAAAATACAACAGCATCATGCGAACTTCTATTTTATAGTGTATAGTTTTATATTTATATTGATTTTAATTATTTAAATGAAAAAAACAATCGTTTTAAATATTGTTTTGTATTTATAAAAAATACAGAATTATAAAACAAAATACAAAGCAATCAGAAATATAAGAGGTATTTTTTATGCTATTCACAGAGTTAAACAAAAAGATATATTTTATTAGAATAATATATAAAAAAAAAGTAGGTAAGTAGATGTCGCTCTGCTTTTCAATAGGTTACGATTTTATCAATGTATAATGGATTGTATTAAACTTCAGTTCAAACATATAATATCATTGTATAAGAAAAACGATTCTGAGCGGAGACGATTTATCAGTCTGGATATATTTTATATTGTTAGATGGTTTCCTAACCATTTAAAAATATCAAAAATGCATGACGTTAATATTCAAGGTTGCACTTCTTCCGGCACTCCCAGAATGCAATCGGTCTGGTTATTTATTTTTATTCGTTTCTATGGTAATAAACAAAGCGTTAGAAATTAAAATCCCATCTTAAGCGGTATTTGTAATTTGTCGATGGTTTTTCCTATGGCATTAAATAACTATTGAGAAAATCAAAAAAATGACATTTTTAAAGTATCGTCTTGATCCAATTCTCTAAAATATAATGTACTGTATGTTGAAATCGAAGCACTCCTTTTGGTAGACATTTTATATACAGGTTAAAAAAAAAAATAAACACCATTGTAAAATCACTACCTTCCTTGCTCCGCTCAGAATTTAAAAAGGTCAAAATTCAACTTTAAAATAATCTAGTAGTAACCTTCTAGTTACAAATTAGTAGAAATTGGTAAAAAAACAATCAAATACTCGATCATGAGGGGGCGGGAAAAGGATCTGAAAAACACGTTACTTATATGAATTCTTCAGTGTAAAATGGTAAGTATACATTTTGAAAATATCGATATGTTTCAAGTCAGCAGGACTTATATGTTATAAGTACAGAGTACACTGAATAATATTTTTAAAAGCAACATATTCATAAATAACAAAATTACACTATAGTATGCGAAGAATCATCAAAGTACGTTCGTGCTTCTTATAAGAGTTTTATTTAATATAAAAATATATTTTAAAACAATTTTAATTTTATTTAATAAAATTATGACAGACAGTATTTAAAATTACAAATATAATTAAAGAATTACCAATTTCAACAAATTATGAATGTCCGTAGTCCATAGAAATTCATACAAATGGCGATTAATTGTTTCGCGTATTTAAAAGTAGAAAATTCAATATAGGAGAGGCAGGGGGACATGGGGGACACGGGAAAATTGATTTTTCGATTATAACTTGGGAGGGGGTTGCATACAAATTCCAAAAATGGTCATACAAATACATACAAATAGCGTTTAATTGTTTCGCATAGGAAAAAGTAGAAAATTCCTATGAGGGGGGGCAGGGGACACGGGAAAATTGGTTTTTCGATTATAACTCGGGAGGGGGTCGCATACAAATTCCATAAATGGTCATACAAATTCATACAAATTGTATATAATTGTTTCGCGTAGGAAAAAGTAGAAAATTCAATATAGGAGAGGCAGGGGGACATGGGCGACACGGGAAAATTGGTTTTTCGATTATAACTCGGGAGGGGGTCGCATACAAATTCCAAAAATGGTCATACAAAAACATACAAATAGCGTTTAATTGTTTCGCGTAGGAAAAAGTAGAAAATTCCTATGATGGGTGGCGGGGGACACGGGAAAATTGGTTTTTCGATTATAACTCGGGAGGGGGTCGCATACAAATTCCATAAATGGTCATACAAATACATACAAATAGCGTTTAATTGTTTCGCGTAGGAAAAAGTAGAAAATTCCGATGATGGGGGGCGGGGGACACGGGAACATTGGTTTTTCGATTATAACTCGGGAGGGGGTCTCATACAAATTCCAAAAATGGTCATACAAATTCATACAAATAGCGTTTAATTGTTTCGCGTAGGAAAAAGTAGAAAATTCTTATGATGTTGGGCGGGGGACACGGGAAAATTGATTTTTCGATTATAACTCGGGAGGGGGTCACATACAAATTCCAAAAATGGTCATACAAATACATACAAATAGCGTTTAATTGTTTCGCGTAGGAAAAAGTAGAAAATTCCTATGATGGGGGGCGGGGGACACGGGAAAATTGGTTTTTCGATTATAACTCGGGAGGGGGTCGCATACAAATTCTATAAATGGTCATACAAATTCATACAAATAGCGTTTAATTGTTTCACGTAGGAAAAAGTAGAAAATTAATATGATGGGGGGCGGGGGACACGGGAAAATTGGTTTTTCGATTATAACTCGGGAGGGGGTCGCATACAAATTCCATAAATGGTCATACAAATACATACAAATAGCTTTTAATTGTTTCGCGTAGGAAAAAGTAGAAAATTCCGATGATGGGGGGCGGGGGACACGTAAAAATTGGTTTTTCGATTATAACTCGGGAGGGGGTCGCATACAAATTCCAAAAATGGTCATACAAATTCATACAAATAGCGTTCTTGAATCTTGCAGTACAAAATATATGAATACTTAATTATTTATATTACAGGGGCTGGAGACATATGTCTCCAGCCCCCCTTCTGTATTTCCGATATTGCTCGAATACTGGTGTCGTACAAATTCTAAGAACCATCAAACAAATTCATACAAATGGCATACAAAATATTTGGATAGAAATTTTCGAAATTTTCTTTGGATGGGGGGTTGGGGACACGTACGTGTATTTTACTATCAGTGATAGTGTGGTGCAACAGTAGGTAGAATTAATGTTCACCAAAAGTATTACATTTATACAATAATTAACAACTTGCTAATCCCGAGTACTAAAAAATGACAATACTCTTAAACAAATTGTCATTGGTCAACTTCATTTGGGTGTAATTCTTTGTAATTGCAGCCACCCTAGTAGTCAGTACGTCAGATAGCGGATAGACAGCATAGTTTTAAGCTGACAATCCTCAGGTGGATTCCGGACACGGCCTAAGCGGCTATAAGTGAAACTAACCTTTGTAGGCAATGTGCGAAAATTTGATATTTGCTTGAATCTGATCTACCCGATTAATCAATGGCAATCCATACACAAAAAAAATTCTGATATCTACTATTACTATTATAATCTGCAATCAATAGCAACCATTTATAAACAAATAAAAGTTTCAATTTCACCGTCAGTCTCAATTCTCAAATTCATTTTCTGAACACCTCTAATTTACCTTTTTAATTTTTCTCAACAAATCTATTTACCAAATTTCATCAAAATCAGTTCAGTGATTTAGGCATGAAAGGGATAGTTATTATATTTTATTATATTATTTTTATAAGCTATCGAGGCAATACTGACTTGTAGAACAGTGTGAATAGGTTCGTGGTAAAAAATTACAATAGCATAAAATAAATCTAAGTGTTTCGAAAATGTTGTTAATTTTATAACATTTAATAATATAGAAAGTCCCCACTCATAATATTTTTGAATTACAATAAAATAACTAAATCGTTCCTCTTCATTTAAATATCGAATATCGTCCAACTTCAATTAATGTCTAAAAAAAAATTGTATATTTTTTAGTTTTTTAGTTTCAGAAAGAACTTTTTATGAGGAATATTGTCGTAAATTTTATTCTAGGGTATAGATATTGAAGATTTTATTAATTTTTAACTTGTTTTCACACTTTTGTGATTTTGACGAATTTTGTCTACATTTAAACTTCAAAAATTTTCTTACAAAAACATCGTGCATAATATGTATTTTTAATATTATTTAATATATATAATAACAACCTACAAGGAATCTTGAATTAAATTTTCAAGCTTTTTCACTGAGCACGAAAATCAATATTTATGGAAAAAAACATTAAAAAATATGAAATGTCTATAAATAGCTCAATAAGATTCAAATATATTAAAAGTTTTAACATGTATAAAAAAATGCTAACATAAATATTTGTTTTTTGTTTTTTTCCAATTCTTAAGTAAAGTACATTAATTATTTTTAACCGGGGGTAAATAGGGGGTATATTAATTGTTTATTGTTTAGATTATAGATATATATATATATATATATAGGGAAAACGGATTGCCTATTTTTTCCTGGAAAAAAAGTGTTAACAGATAATAATATAATAATGAATTGGAAAAAAATATTGTAATTCCAAAGCATATAAAATGCTTAGTTTTTGATTTTGAGTGGAGCGATATGTGTTTTTTTTTAACTTTTAATTAATTTTTTATTTTTGTGTCTGTCAAAACTTTTTAGGACAGTAAAAATGACTAGTTTTTCTTCAACGTATCTTTTCTGATAGGTAAGTGAATCTAGTTTGAACTTTAGGAAGTGTAAAGTAAAAAAATTCAAAGTAGTTTTCAAAAGCGACGTGAAAAACAAAAGAAAAATTAAGAAAAAACTGGAATTTGTACGAAAAATCTATTTTACAACATTTGATATTCACTCGATTTCTCATGTAACGATTTTCTTATTTTTTTGTTATTAAAAAACGAATGACTGTAGATACTTGAAAATTTCACTGAATATTTATATTAGCATTTTCAATACACATAACATTTTGAAAATAACTTTACTCTTTTTGAGCTGTTTACGGATATCGTCAGTTTTTAGTTTTTTTTATTTTTTTTTTTTATAGATATCAATAACATTTTATTTGATGGTTTAAAAAGCTTGAAAATTTAATGCAAGGTTCCTGATTATTGTTATAATAGAAGTTGAAAAATATTAAAAATACATTTTCACAATTTTTTTTAAAAGCATTTAAAGTCGAATTTTGACAAAATTTATCAAATTTATAATGCAATAATTATTTTGTAGTTAAAAATGTAAAAATGTTCAACTTTTATAACTAAGGATTGACAAGACTGACCGTTTTCGCTCAGAATCGTTTTTCTTATACAATGATATAATGTCAATGAATTCAAATTTAACACCATCCATTACAGTAACCCACTTGTAAGTTGTAACCTACTGTAAAGCAGGC